ATGTTTCCCTCACTTTAGGACGTGCATTCATATTAGTAATTCATTTGACACTATAGGTATGTAATTTTGGATTATTGCCTAGGAAATAAATATTCAGAATGATCCTCTAAATAGTGCAAGATTCCCGGTCTACTGATACATTTAAAAATACTAAATCACATCGAAAAAGAAGCACCAATGCCCAGCGCATAATGTTACACTCCCCCAGCAATATTTCCTCTGAGTATTTTAAATCTAGTTTAACACACTCAGAGGAGGTGGTCTATTTTTATAACAGGACAAATAAGGACTGACCAAACTGCTTTTTTCTAATACTTCTAGCTAAAATACCATCAGAATATACCTAGGAGAATCGATAATTCCAAGTCATGCACTCACATTTTTTGGAAGGGAAAAACCCCAAAAACTTTTACTTCCAGGGGTTTAACTAATCTGAGAGCAGCAAAGACGTCTCCATCACTCACATTAGTAACAGTATATCACTCTGAACCAGTTAGGAAAATTCTGTGTCGGCGTGTCAGGAAGTTGGCAATAAGTGGGCGGCTGGAGTGCACGTGCAAACATATTGTGTAACTAGTATATGAAGTGATTCCATAAGGAAGCACCAAGAGGTTGGTTGAAATAAGAAAAGCACACATAATTTCTTTACTCTTGGTTCTTGTAGATCTTTGGGATCAATATGGCCCATATACGCCCCACAATCTACTCTCTTATGAAAATAAGTATAGACAGAGACGGCAGCGCGTGTGTAGCTCCCCTCTCGTCATGGAGCGTGCCGAAGCACCCTTCTTCCTAGTAGAATCTCGCTGTGCTCACTGTTTCAGGCTGTTACCACGCGAGCACGAATACTTTTAGGCTTCCCGGGTTACACTCCTTCGGGTTAACGCTTGCTCCTGGCTCAGTCTCTTCGCTCTGCGATCGGACACCCAGATTTATCTGTCCGCACGCCTGTAATCCTAACACTCTGAGAGGCCCAGGCGGGCAGATCACTCAATGTCAGAAGTTCAAAACCAGCCTGAGTGAGACCCTGTCTCTACTAAAAATAGAAAGAAATCAATTGACCAACTAAAAATATATACACAAAAAATTACCGAGCATGGTGGTGCATGCCTGTAGTCCCAGCTACTTGGGAGGCTGAGGCAGTAGGATAGCTTGAGCCCAGGAAATTGAGGTTGCTGTGAGCTAGGCTGACGCCACGGCACTAACTCCAGCCTGGGCAACAAAATGAGACTCTGTCTCAAAAAAAACTTCTTTCAGCCCTGGTTGTCTCATGTGTAATATTAGTACATTGGATTAGATCATTTCTAAAGGCTCTGCTAGCTCTTTAATTCTGTTATTCTATAATAATAGTGATAATAACTACATTTACTTAGCATTATTATGTGCCAAGCACTAAACTAAGTGCTTTACAAATACTATCTCATTTTAATTTTCAGAGTAATCTTATGAGGTAAGAATTGTTTTATTATCCCCATTTTATAGATAAGGAAACTGAGAGGTTAAATTTCCAGAAGTTGCTCAGCTCAGTCAGTGAGGGGAAGAACAATCATTTAAACTCAAGCAATGAGACTCCAAAGCCTCTGCTCTTTTCCACTGCACAATGATTCAGAGTCCAATACGCTCTACCTCTGTAATGTATCTTGCACGAGTCTCCTTCTATTCTTGCCGCTAATATATCTTCATTATATCTCTGACCTAGATGATTACAATCAGCATCAGCTCCTAACTTGCTTGTAGTCCTAGCTCTAGGCTTTTCTAGTCCAAGTACAATTTTTTTTTTTTTAATGAGAGACTTAGAGACAGGGTCTCAGTCTGTTGCCCAGGCTGGAATTCAGTGGTGTGATCACAGATCACAGTAATCTCAAACTGTCGGGCTAAAGCCATCCTGGCTCAGCCTCCCAAGTAGCTGGGACTACAAGCATGTGCCACCACACCTGGCTAATTTTTTTAAATTTTTGTAGAGACAGGTGTCTCTCTGTGTTGCCCAGGCTGGTCTTGAACTCCTGACCTCAAGTGATCCTCTCACCTTGGCCTCCCAAAGCACTGGGATTATAGGCATGAGCCACTGCACCTGACCCCAAGTACAATCAGTCATATTACTCACCAGTTGAAAATTTTTGGTAGCTCCCATTGCCTGGAAATAGAGATTTCTTGGTTTGGGATTTAAAAGCCTCTGCAGAGTGACCTCAGCCTTTCTGTGTAGTATATTAATTCACTTTGCATATTCTGCCCTCCAACCAAAATAGACACCTTATCATTCCCTGGATATATCCACACTGTTCTATGTCTGTCTTTGCTCACGTTGTTAACCCACCAGTTTCACCTTGTTAAAAGTTAGTCCTCTTACAAAGTTGGGCTTGGATGTCGTACTTTGGCTTCAGTCCTCTTTGCAAAGCAAATATGGTTAACTTTCTTTATTTTGTATTATGATCCTTTATGTAATTGTCTTAACCTCAGACCCTAACCCAATGATCTGTTCCTCAAAGAAGGGCCTATGTCTCAGTCATTTTTATATCTTCTGCAGTGCCCCAATATAGGATATAATAGGTTCTCAAATTTTTATTGATATAGTGAAATTGGATTAGATTAGATTTTACAGGTTTATGGCAAATAATCATAGACTATAAGTATAATCTTATATGACTGTAAATCAGGTTTTTCTGACACCTTTGAGCCAGTAGACATTTGCATTTATGGCATACATGCACAATGTGGTATCAATGGTGATACTACAATTCTGCAACAGATGTTCCACAATGAGAATTAGTTCAGATGACAGCTTAGCCAGGAAGCCCTCCTTAAGTGCTGATATCTTGGTTAAGTCCCCTCATTTATGCCCCCATGGCACACTGTCAGTGCCCTTATCACAAATTGTAATCATAGGTATGTGTCCACCTTTCCCACCAGACTGAGCCATTTGAGTCCGTAGGCCATGTTTTATCATCCTTGGTGTGTCTAGCACATAGTGTTACATGTTGGAAACTTGAATTAGGCACAGAAGCCCACCAAACCCTAATGACTTCCATGATTAGAGAAGAATTTCAAAGAGCCTTCACTGTGGTCCTTTATAATTATGATTCTTAATTTCTACTTTCATTATAATTATTAACAATTAAACATTTCTACCTCAGTTTGCATCTGTCACTACTGACAAGTGAAGTTTCTAGGCTTCTAAAGCAGTGGAATTAAAGGTCATAGGATCTACCATACTTGGCCACTCTATCATTGTTACTTTGTTTTGCCAGAGGTTCCATGATTTAATTTTTTGCTTTTGAAATGGTGTGAAAAGGATCATTGTTTTCATAAAGCACATGTTACAAAAATGTGTTATATTTGAACTACATGGTATTTTTTTATTTTATCAGCTGAATTTAAGATTTACCCACATGATATTATAAAGATATGTGTACTAAATGGGGCAAAGTGACACATAACTTTAATCCCATGTACTCAGAAGGCTGAGGCAGAAGGATCACTGGAGTCCAGGCTTTCGAGTACAGTCTAGGTAACATATTGAGACTTCGTCTCTAAAAAAAAAATGTGTACTAGGTATGAATGGATCGAGAGATTTCTTTATTGTTGTTTTTTTTTGTTTGTTTTTGAGACAGAGTCTCACTCTGTTGACCTGGGTAGAGTGTGATGGCGTCTTTTATAGCTCACAGCAATCTCAAACTCATGGGCTCAAGCAATCCTCCTGCCTCAGCCTCCCAAGTAGCTGGGACTACAGGTTTGCACCATGATGCCCAGCTAGTTTTTATGTTTTTAGTAGGGATTGAGTTTTGCTCTTTCTCAGACTGGTCTTGAACTCCTGAGCTCAAGCAATCCTCCTCCCTCAGCCTCCCAGAGTGTTGGGATTACAGGCATGAGCCATGTGCCTGACCAAGAGATTTTAAGAGTTCTTATTTTTGACTACTCTAGGCCAAAATGTAAGTGCTAGTCATGCTGGACACACATCACAATGTGCTAAGTTATGGTTACCACTTAAACAGGAATTGCTCACCCTGATATGCTCCAAAACTTACCTTATTGGGTTTATATTTAATTAGCCAATCCTCCCCCCCCCTTTTTCTTGAGACAGTCTTGCTTTGTTGCCCAGGCTAGAGTGAGTGCCATGGCGTCAGCCTAGCTCACAGCAACCTCAATTTCCTGGGCTCAAGCAGTCCTGCTGCCTCAGCCTCCCGAGTAGCTGGGACTACAGGCATGTGCCACCATGCCCGGCTAATTTTTTCTATATATATTAGTTGGCCAATTAATTTCTTTCTGTTTATAGTAGAGACAGGGTCTCGCTCTTCCTCAGGCTGGTTTTGAAGTCCTGACCTCAAGCAATCTGCCCGCCTCGGCCTCCCAGAGTGCTAGGATTATAGGTGTGAGCCACTGCCCCCAGCCGCCAATCCCTTTTTAAACCTGTTTGATTAATCACAGATTTCTTTAATTACTTATAGCTGTTCAAATCACAAGCTTTGGGGGACAAGATTGTGCTACTTTTCATATTGAAGTTTTTGGACATGCTTAGCGAATTTTTGTTAATTGACACTCTCCAGCGTTTTTTTGTTTTGTTTTGTTTTGTTTCTGAGACAGGGTCTCACTCTGTTGCCCAGGCTAGAATGCAGTGGCATCATCATAATTCACTGCAACTTCAAACTCCTGGTCTCAAGTGATTCTCAAGCCTCTGCCTCCCAAGTAGCTGGAACTACAGGCATGTGCCGCAAACGCCCGGCTAATTTTTCTATATCTGGCAGAGACAGGGACTCAATATGTTGCCCAGGCTGGTCTCAAACTCCTGGCCTCAAATGATCCTTTTGCCTTGGCCTCCCAGAGTACTATGATTACAAGCATGGGCCACTGTGCCTGGCCTCTCTAACTATTTTTATTGTTTGTGTTTGTATAATCTCTTGCCTTCCCAACTGAAATAAAACTTAGCAGACAAAGAAGAGGTGGCTATTTAAGACTTTTTAAGTATTTAAAAACTTTACCATTATTTCTGTTGCTGGCTTTTTTAGGTCTAAATAAACAAGATGAAAAGCAGTTACAAGAACTTGTATTGGAAGAAAGGCAAACCATTGATCTAAAAATCAACATGTTATACAATGAGGTACGTTTAAGGAGGTAGACTAATCTCAATAGTGATATATAGAGGAATACTGTTTTTGCTAGACTCTAATGCTCAAAACATTAAGTGTTCTTTTATGAAAAGTAATTAAGCTGGATTTAGGTCTATAATTTGCTGCAGAATGAGATTGAAGGAATTGTGATGTCAAAGAATAAAACAAAGACCCACAGAGCAAAAAAATTTCAAAGCTTAGTATGTTATCTTGCCAAGCAAGAGAACACATGCTGATAAAGAAATTTTGTTCACCATAGGGAAGCGCCAGGGGTTTTTAAGTGTTAGAAGGGTGGGTGGGAGTATGGTGATTGTGTCAATTAAGGATTGAAAATTTGCCCTCTAGGTATAACGGAATGAATCCAAGGGTGTAGAGATGGTTGGTTAACACACATCCTTAGTTAGGTCTAGTGAGGATCTGTTATGGTTTATGATACTATATCAGCATCAGCTGAAATCTTCTAACCATGGAAGTGGAAAAATTTCCTTCACCCATGGTCTCTTTTCCTTACAAAGACAGTGAAGAACACAGTACTATATATCGTGTTTCCCTCTCATATTTGCCATCTTCCTACTTTAGTCTCCCTTACTCTGGGAATCCAGGAGAGGGGTCTTTTTAGGGGTTAGAGGGATGAAATGAAGGTATCAGTTATTTTTACCACTGATTTAACCAGTTTATCAAAGGCAGAAGCAGGATGTCTGACTCATAGTCTAATATTCTCTCCCACAGGCTATATAATTGCTAGCAGAGATGGAGTATTTCAGAAATTGGCAGTAGGGGCCAGACACAGTGTTTCATGTCTATAATTCTAGCACTTTAGGAGGCTGAATCAGGAAGATCACTTGTGGTCAGTTCAATACCAGCCTGGGCAACGTAGTGAGATCCTGTCTCTATAAGAAATTTTAAGAAGTTAGCCAGGTGTGGTAGCATGTACCTGTAGTCCCAGCTACTGGGGAGGCTGAAGGAGGAAAATTACTTCAGCCCAGGAGTTTGAGGTTACAGTGAGCTGTGATGACACCATGGCACTCCAGCCCAGGCAACAAATTGAGAGCTTGTCTCAGGAAAAAAAGAAATTAGCAGTAGGGAGAGTCATTACACTTAGGTACTTTTAGTTTGATTTGAACGACCTTTATTAGCAATTAAATTGCTTCCTTTTTCTTCCTAAGAGAAAATTTGACTATTAGAAAGCCCCCTTTTTCCTTGTCACAGCTGAGAAAATCTATTTGAGCCTTATCTTGTGAGTCCTCAATGTAGTCTTAAAATAGAGAGAGTACTGAAAAGGCAAGGTGTGGCATGGTGTCTGCTGTCGTTTATGGCAAGAGAAAATATGAAATCACATGTAAAAAGTCTTCATTTTCTCTCAAAGCCTTGCTTTCATTAGCTGAAAGAAGCTACTGTTCAGAACTAATTATAAGAGGCAAAATCTGAATGAATGGAACACTGTGAACTAAACTTTGATCTAAACTTTTGTGTTTTAGAAAATTAAGATAATCTGACAAGTAACTTCATTGTTAACATGAGTTGATCATCTATTTTAGGTCTAATTAGATCTTCTTATTACAGCATTTTAGAATTAACCTCATTGAGATGTTAATATTTGTTAAAAACTGATCTTCTTTTAATGATATGGGGACTTTTATATAAGTTCAAGAAATAATAAGTATGCCAGTGAAAATATACATAGCAATGCTGATATTTTTTTTCTTTTCCAGCTTTTTCAGAATCTAGTGCCAAAAGAGAAATATGACAAAAATGATGTTATTTTAGAGGTGACATCTGGAAGAACTACTGGAGGTACATATAAAATAATTTTATTGTGATCTAAAAAAATACTTAAATTTTACCTTAATTTGTTATCACTGTATCTTTAAAAGTCTGTTAAATGTGTTTAACTTTGAAAATAGTTATTCCTCATTTTCCTAAGGGGCTCACACCTATGGATGGCTCTCTTAGAAATTTGTGCTGACTGAATATTTTTTATATTTTCTTTTAGGTGATATCTGCCAACAATTTACCCGAGAAATATTTGACATGTACCAGAATTATTCATGCTATAAACACTGGACATTTGAACTTCTGAATTACACACCAGCAGATTATGGTAGGCATATTTCAGGATTTTGTCCATAGAACATGCTAAAAATTATCTTACTTGTGCTCTTGATCAGAACCATGTTGTCCCATTTTTAAAAGCTTTTGGTCTGTATCAACTAGACACTGTGACACAGGCTCATCAACCACATGGCTTATAGTAGAGTTAGTTGGGAGAAGAGAATGGGAAGGAAGGAAGCATCCTAGGAAAAATATGTGAATTAGAGAAAATTCCCCTGTGAAAGATAGATGTTTACCTTACCTTGAAAGTCACTGCTCTGTGAATTCAAACCAAAGATATGTTAAAATTTTACTCTAAAGAACTTTATCGTTTATGTGAAACTTTAACATTTACAATCAGAGACTATTATTAGTTAGACTAAGTGGGCAATAATGTGTTAGATTTTTATGGCAGTACAAAAAAAGTTAAACATTTGTATTTTTAAGAAACTTCCACTCTATTTGGGTTGATAAAAATTTATATGACATAGGCCAGGTGCCGTGGCTCACGCCTGTAATCCTAGCACTCTGGGAGGCCAAGGCGGGCGGATTGCTCGAGGCCAGGAGTTCGAAACCAGCCTGAGCAAGAGCGAGACCCCGTCTCTACTATAAATAGAAAGAAATTAATTGGCCAACTAACATATATATAGAAAAAATTAGCCGGGCATGGTGGCACATACCTGTAGTCCCAGCTACTTGGGAGGCTGAGGCAGGAGGATTGCTTAACCCCAGGAGTTTGAGTTGCTGTGAGCTAGGCTGATGCCACAGCACTCACTCTAGCCTGGGCAACAAAGTGAGACTCTGTCTCAAAAAAAAGAAAAAAATTATATGACATAAACAATAACAAATAGTGCAATTTCTTAAACATTTAAATATTTAAGCATGTTAATTCAGAACATCTGATAGTAATTCTCTCACTTTTCCTATTCTTTTAATCCATCTGAAAGGTTTTGTCTATTTGGTTACATAGTGATACGCTGTAGTTGAAAGAGGGGTCATCGGTAATAAACCATAAACCATCAAAGACTGGAAATAAGATTAACACCTTACCTGCCATGTGAGTTGTATTTAACTCACACTAGTTTTGAGCCCGGGGCCTCATGAAGCAAAACCTGGCCAAAACACTGCAGTTGGTTCATAAAAATCTTACTTGCTTTGCCATACTCATTCTGTTTAAAAAAAAAAAAAAAAAAATCTTACTTGCTGATGCTCTTATTGTTACAATTAATATTGACAAATTAATTTGAAAAACATAGATTAAATGAATAGAAGTCAATAAATTTTGTTTTTCTATTTATGTTTACCTTAAGTCATACCTGACAGTTCAAGAAAAACACTTTTATGAACTATTTTTCAAGTATTCATATTACTAATTTTCAAGTTTTTATATTATTTTCTTTTAAAGTTTTTTGGTTTTTTTGTTGGTTTTTTTTTTTTTTTTTTTTTTGAGACAGAGTCTCATTCTGTTGCCCAGGCTAGAGTGCCATGGCATCAGCCTAGCTCACAGCAACCTCAAACTTCTGGGCTCAAGCAATCCTTCTACCTCACCCTCCCAAGTAGCTGGGACTATAGGCATGTACCACCATGCCCAGCTAATTTTTTTTCTATATATTTTTAGTTGGCCAATTAATTTCTTTCTACTTTTTTAGTAGAGACCAGGTCTCACTCTTGCTCAGGCTAGTTTCGAATTCCTGATCTTGAGCGATCCTCCCGCTTCGGCCTCCCAGAATGCTAGGATTACAGGTGTGAGCCACCTGCCCAGCCTCAAGTTTTTATATTATTTTTTATTGAAAAAACACCGAAGACAATAAAAAATACAAATTTTCCATTAAATTATAAAGGATGGTTTTGTTTTCTAAGTTTTTATTCAGTTTTCATAATAAAACACCATGGCCCCATGAAAGAAATTTTTTCTTGTGCGGCAGTCAATGTGTTAATATAAGTTAAACAACAGAGGGAAATTAAAACCAGAAAGCAGGATAAGTAAGGTAGAAAGAAATCCGTACTGGGTACGGATTTCTAATACAGCCAGTGGCTGGGAGAGGGGAACATCAGTGAGAGCAGAGGGAAGGAACAACTTGAGCATCAGCTCAGAGGTGAGAAGATCATGGCATGTGGGTAGGACAAGAAGGAGACCAATGTACCCACAGCATATTTGTGGTAGGATGTAATAGCTAAAGTAGGTTTGAGTGGGTAGGTTTTGAACAGCCTTGAAAGCTGAACAAGCCTTGATTGATAGGCAATAGGGAGCTGTTGAAAATTTTATTAAATAAGAATATGATTTGATAAAATGTATATTTAAAGAAGATTATTTTGACAACATTATGAAGAAATGGATTGAAGAGGCTAGATTTAAGGCAGACTGCCAAGAGATTATTAGAGTAACCATACATGACCAGGAGTTAGAATTGGCAATAGGGATATATGTGAGAGACCTTGAAAGGAGGAATGGGCAGAATTTGCCAAGTGACTGGATACAAGATGGGCTATTGCTTGCCTAGTATGTCCTGTGTATATAACCTCACAACCCTGGGAGATTAGATATTATTAATCTCATTTTACAGATGAGGATTTAGGCTCAGAGAGTAAGTAACTAATTCAAGATCACACAATAAGTAATGACAATCTTGGGATTAAATTTAAGTCTCTCTGATCCAGAGCTGTATTACATTTCATTAGTCTTTTCTGACGCAAAAGAGATAAGCCACAGTGATTCTAGTTTTTTTAGCTGGGAAGATTGTGATATTTGTTCATTCACGCCATCGAGCGGAGTAGAATTTTGGAAGGCAAAACCCATTTGGGAAGAATAACTATGAGTGGGTTTTGAATTATTAAGTTTGAGGTTATAGTGAGCATCCATTTAGAAATATTCAATAAATGCTGAAGTTGTGTAACCAGAGCTTTGGTGAGAGAATGGAATTCAGGAGAGCTATTTGATAGCTGTTAGCACAGAGATAATATCTGATACTGAGAGAATAAGTGAGGGAGAGCCTATAGAGAGGGAACATTCAAGGCATCAAGCTTTGAAGAATGGCCACATTTAGAAAGATAGACCAGTTGGCAAAAGAAGAAGAGGAGTCAGATAAGCAGAAAAATGATGAGGATACTGTTTACTATTATGAGGATACTGGATACTATTATGGATGCAAAAGAGGAGTTTCAAGTAGAGTATACTCACATACAGCAGCATTATAAAAAAGAGAATAGTGGGAAATGTTATCAGTGACCTCTGAGATGTATATTTTGAATAGGACTTTCAAAAATAGAAGGGAGATGAACTTAGTAACAGGAAAAGAGGCCCTTTTCCAGTTATATAGAGCTGCCTAAACAGTGGTTGGGAAACCTTTCATTTAAGCAATGACTCACTGCCAAATAAAATAAAAATATTTTGAAAAGTAAAAAGCCCTTTTTTTGAAAAAAAAATTATAAATAATTTCCTCAAACACCTTTATTTTTCTTTTTTTTTCTTTTAAGTCACTGTTAGGCAAGGAACTCAAACACCTTTAAAATTAAAGACTAGGAATAAACCTTCTATTCATTGAAATTATAAATTAATTTTTTAAATGGATTTTTTATTATAACCAGTTAGAAGAAAAGATGTAGATAGAGAAAAGGAAAAAAGCAGCTACCTTATAAAATACATATATTAAATTATATATATATTTATGATGTTTAATTAAAATGGAGAGGAACTCACAGATACAGAGATTCACATAACACTAAAAGCTAAAGATGGAAAGAAACACTTATATAAAAATTCATATATTAAGTGACTTTTAAAGTCTTATAGAGTTTTGTGATTATAGGTACAAATAAAGATAGTACTCAACCATTACATAAATAGTCCAAATGAAATGTTACAAGATAGTCTTTTTTTTCTTTCTCTTTTTTAAGAGATAGGGTCTTGCCTTATTACCCAGGCTGGAGAACAGTGACACAATCATAGCTCACTGCAGCCCTGATTCCTGAGCTCAAATGATCCTCCTGCCTCAGCCTCCCTAGTAGGTGGGACTACAGGTGTGGGCTACCATCCCCAGCCAATTTTTCTTATCTTTTGTAGAGATGGGGTCTCACTACATTGCTCAGGCTGGTCTTGAACTCCTGGTCTTAAGCTGTCCTCCTACCTTGGTGTCCCAAAGTGCTGGGATTACAGGCATAAGCCACAGAGCCTAGCTGATTACGAGATAGTCCTGTGGAAGCAGTGGAGGGTAAGGGCTCTTGATAAGTAGTGTAGTTATGACACTGTTAATCTGTAAACCTGGTATCTAATGAATTGGTATCTAATATTTCCTAAGTTAAAGGGATTCTATGAAATGTTTTGCATCATCTCCCCAGTCCTCAACAGATTGTTTAAAATTATGTTTTGTTATTCCTATGTTTTGTTATTCCCTATTCACCAGTTGAATTTGGGGAAAGGACACTTAAAGTAATGTGATGGTTAATTTTATGTTTCCAGAGACATACTTTTCTCCACAACTGTGAGAAATCAATTTGTGAGGGGAGTCCCACTGTCCTTGAAGAGCTCTTCTCTGTATGCCGGACCTTTGGTTACTGAATTAGGAAACCTAAATGCAGTAGCAGTAATTGGCAAGGTGGCCATAGTTACCATATTGGACAGCAGAGTCAAAGCAGCACTCAGAATAGTAACTTTTCACAGACTTTTTTTTTTTTTGAGACAGAGTCTCGCTTTGTTGCCTAGGCTAGAGTGAGTGCCGTGGTGTCAGCCTAGCTCACAGCAACCTCAAACTCCTGGGCTCAAGCAATCCTTCTGCCTCAGCCTCCCAAGTAGCTGGGACTACAGGCATGCACCACCATGCCTGGCTGATTTTTTCTATATATATTAGTTGGCCAATTAATTTCTTTCTATTTTTAGTAGAGACAGGGTCTCGCTCTTGCTCAGGCTGGTTTCGAACTCCTGACCTCAAGCAATCCGCCCGCCTCGGCCTCCCAGAGTGCTAGGATTACAGGCGTGAGCCACCGCGCCTGGCATTTCACAGACTTTTGAAGTGA